ATTGTGGTTCGCATATGGTCCTTTATTTTTTTTTTGCACTATGAGTTTTAATTGAAAACATTAAACAGTTTACTCAATGAATTAAAAAACTTTGATAGTTAAATTGGACTATCACTTATGTGACATTTATTCTTCATATTTATGTAGACATGAAAGAAACTTTACTTGTGTTTTCTGTTCTCCATTTCAGAGCAAGATTATGAAGAGAGGGCGTAATGTATTTATAAATCAAAACCCAACTGGGTTAGAAATGAAATATAAAGGGAACTCAATCCACACACGGCTGTGCCATAAGAACACAGGTGGTTTTTAACTCATGTTTTGGGTAGGAAAGCAATGTAGCTCATTCACAAGACATGAAAGCAGGTGCTATAGTAAAGCTGAACCACAAAAACGCCAATGATTTTTAGCATGCCTCTTAATTTTTCCATTCTCTGGTTTCTTGCCTTCTGCTCCCAAATCTTGAACAGGTAACCGCTTGAGGGGGTGCTGGCAATAGATAGGCCATGGAGGAAGTGTCAGCAAACACAAAAATGTAAATCCGGCCAGAACTATATAGATAGTCTATCTGAAGTGTTCAGCCATATACCCATAGATAAATCCAACTATTGCAGAAAAAATGAATAACTCCCTGAAACATCTGTTCAGCTAGCTTCTGCCCCTTGTAAGCCATCTCCGTGGGCAGCGAGCCCAGATGCTCCAACACGATGCCTAAGAGGACGGGCAGCAGACTGCAGTCCGCAGGCCTGTGGGCCAGTTTGCCAACCCCTGTTCTATACCGCAGTTGGCGTTAGCGGTTGTGTGAGTCTATATATTTGACAAAGCTCATCAACCTGTACTCCTAAAATCTGTGCTTTTTCTTGATACGTAAATTATTCTTTAATTATAAATTAATATACTAATAAAATAATACTAACGGCACCTCCTTGGGCACAATGGGCTTCTGGAGTGCTGGTAATGCTTTTTCCTGATCTGGGTGCTGGTTAGATGGGTGTGCTCACCTTGTGAAAACTCCTTGAGCCATGTACATTTAGGATCTGGGCCCTGTTATGTATGTGTTTTCTGTGAGAAAAAGTTTGTAATACCCTCTCCCTGATTGGTTAGGAGTCTCTGGTGGCACGGACGGTTAAGCACTCGACTACTTCTGAAAGTTTGGCACTTCAAACTGCCCAGATGTATATCAGAAGAAAGGCCTGGCGATCTGCTTCGAAAAGGTCACAGCCTTGAAAACCCTATGGAATGCAGTTCTACTCTGCACACAGGTCACCATGAGTCAGAATGGACTCGACGGCAATGGGTTTGCTTTTTTTTTTGGTTTTTGGTTGGTTAAATATAAGATGGTCCATACACAATGCACTACTTTATGCAATTGTCAGACAAGATTGAGGAAAGCTTTCCAGGCACTGCACACACACAAAAGCAATGTGTAGAACAAACACCTTTTCATTCAACAAGTATTTGCTGAGCACATACTGGGTGGGTACACCTTCTAACAAAACAGACGTGCATTCCTGCTCTCATGAAGCTAGCATTCTAGTGATTTGCTGCCATTTTTGAAAGAAAAAAAAAAAAGCCACTAAATAAAGAGTCTGTATAGAATTGCTTGCGAAGACCGAAAGCCTAGACTCCTTCTGGAAGGAAACACGAGATGGTGTAACATTGGTAGAACTGGGAGAGGGAGCCAGAGGGAGACTTTTCAAGATGAAAGTATAAAGTCTTTTGTATCTTTAACTATGTGAATGTATTATGTCTTTCAATTAAAAAAAAAAAAAAAGTTGCAATTAAATAAATACTCTATCCCAACTATATACGTGTATATACACACACATGACCTTTTAGGTTAGCAGCCAAGCTCTTAACCACTGTGCCACCAGGGCTCCATGTATGTATATATATACAAACCCACTGTCATCATAACCACCCTATAGGACAGAGTAGAACAGCCCCATTGGGTTTCTAAGGCTGTAAATCTTTACGGAAGCAGATTGCCACATCTTTCTCCTGTGGAGTGGCTGGTGGGTTTGAACCGTCAACCTTTTGGTTAGCAGCTGAACTCTTAACCACTGTGCCACCAAGTCTCCACATATGTGTGTGTATATATATATTTTAATCAGATGCCAGGGCCCCACTGCAGGCTGAGTTGTACTCACTGGGGAACTGGACCAAGGAATCTGCTTTTTAAAACAAACATCACTACTTGTTTTCCAGTTTTTTTCCCCTTAGTCAGTCTATTGTTTCAGTTTTAGGATTCTTTCCCATGCTGTTTATGCCAAGGGTGGGCTGGGGAGGGTGGCAGTGCCCATTGCTGACATGCACTAGGGCTGGGAGCCATTTTCCGGTTTCCCTCAGAGCTGCCGAGTTCGTCTAGAGGAGGGAGCTTCCGGCCGTGCCCAGCCCAGCCCAGCCCCGGTTTATGCTTGTCGGAGAAGCTGCTTCTCCATCAGCTCACAGAAAATCCAGATCCCCAGTACCAACAGCCCCCGAGGCCTCCTGAGCACAGAGCTTGCCAGACACTATGCAAAACGCTTGCCATCAACATTTGTAGTAACTGTTAAATGAGAAACTATTTTGTTCTGTAAGCCTTCATCTTAAGTGAGAATAACAGCACAATTGAAAGAGCGTAGTCAATGTCACTGAACTGTGCATGTAGAAATTTTTGAAACGGTGTGTCTTTGGCTATGTGTATTTTCACCAAAAAAAAAAAAAAAAAGGTTGAGAATTTAGAGGGTTAATATGTTGTGGGGTTGTTAACCAATGTCATAAAACAACATGTGTACTACTGTTTCATGAGAAACTATTTGTTCTGTAAGCCTTCACCTGAAGTACAATAAAATAATTAAAAAAAAAAAGAAAACAAAACGCTTGCCATCAGTGAGTGTGATCTACACAGTCTCACAGATGAGGATATAAGTCTCAGAGAGGTTACCTGACTCACCTAGGGTCACACAGCTTCTAAGTGTCAGAACCAAGATGTGAGCCTAGATCTGTCTGATGTCACCCCTACATTCATGGTGACCAACAGGAAGGGATTGGGGCATGAGGGAAAGATATGTGAGCCACTCTTGCACACCATTCCCATAGGAAAGTGCCCCAGTATCTGGCAGGGACTTCACCAGGTGGCGTGGGGGGGCCAGGTTTTTTGTTCTAGAAAGAAAGAATTGTTTACAACCTAAGCTAGTCCCCAATGGCAAGGAGTCAAGTGAGGTGGCCTGTGTGGAGGAGGACAGGGCCTGGTTGCAGGACTCAGCTGAAGTCTCCGCCTCAGGCTCTGCTGGGCCTCACAGAGAAATAATTAAGCAACGGTGTGGTTTGTTTGCTGTTCCCTCTCCCCATGGAGGACTCAACCTCCGGCCTTAGTCCCTAAAATAATTCATGATGATTCTCCATCATACATCGTGTCCTGTTCTTTCTTCACAATGCTCACAACAACCTAAAATTATATATTTATTCCCTGGTCACTCCATACGGGCGTGGCTTTTCCTGGTTCACCAGCCACTGCGCTCCCAGTGTCTAGACTCCCACCTGTAGGGTGCTCAATAGATCCTTGTTGACTGAATGTGCTCCCAGCACCCAGCACAAGGTCTGTCAGGCACAGAGGTCCCCCTGTCTCAGGTATGGGCCGGGCTGGGCCTGGGAGGGTTTTCTTAGTCCCACCCATGGCTGGCTCCCTTTGGCCAAATTCAAGGCTGGGTGAATCACATCATTGTCCACTCTGCCCCCCACCCCCATCTCAGCTGGGCCACAGGAACACCAAAGATCCCTCAGCTGCTGCCCACAAGCAGGCAGTGCCTGGCCAGGACCCAGGCTGATTCCCAGATCAGAGACAGCTAGCCACACCCAGTGGACACACTGCATGGGCAGCTGCAGGGTCTGGGGCTTAAGAGAAAACCAAGGGCAAGGAGGCCCCCCCAGGAGGTCTGGGCTGACAGCTTCAAGCCCAGAGAGGAGTAGCTGGGAGGCTGCCAGGCCTAGTGCCTCCAGCTTGGCTGGGCTGGGCAGGGCAGGGCAAGGAAGGTCCCAGCCTCCTCCATTTCTCTCTCAACAGCTTACTGAGGCCTTAGTCCCTGGGGGGAAGGGTGGCTCTCACATATTTTGTTTTTCTTAGTTATTTTTGTGCGGTTTCCGGCCCCCTCCCCAATGCCCTGAGGTTTCAGAGTTTCCAGGAAGTTCCTGTCACACGAAGGGGACGGCCGGGCCCCTTAACCACAGGGCAGTGCCAGGTGGGGCTTGGGCTCCAAACAGCCCTGGGAACCCAAAATAGAGAAGAGAAAGGGGAAACTGAGGACCACGCTCGCGCATGGGAACGCAGAAGCAGGCACCGTGGAGAGCGAGTGCAGGGGGCGTGGGGAGGGGGCACATCCAGAGCCCATCCCCCGGACCAAACGGCAAAGCTCTCCCTCGGGGGTCCCTGCGAGGGGCTTCCAGGTGCCGGGGCCCAGCTAAGTGGGAGGAGAGCATCCCCAGCCTCTTGCACAGGGCGGGGAAAGTTTGTCAATTGTTTTCAGCTTCGTTCCAGTCTCCTTCACCAAGGCGGCATTGTCTCCGCCCTTCCGAGGTGGCCAGCAAACCCGGCTGGCTCCCACCCCGCCATTAGGTCCACCCAGTCTTGCCTCAGTTTCTCCATCTGGCCAAATGCCCGGGACGGCTACTTCTAAAGGGATGCGGGCTGGAAGAAGAAGTGGGCAAAAGGGAGTGGAAGAGGAGGGGGATTTGGGGAGGTCTGGGCTCTCTTACGACTCCCGGCCGCCGTGCCTCCCCTCCCCCGCCCGCTATCTGAGCCGCCCAGATAACGGGACCTCCCGGGCGGAGCATGCGCCCTGCGCCCGGCCCATCAGCCAGAGAGTGCAGGGGCTCCAGAGAGGCGGCGCGGGGCGATCTGGCGGGGAGCAAGGGGCGTAGGGGACCCCCTTTGTAGCGTGGGTGTTTAAGGTCTCAGATGTCGCCTTTCCCCAGGGCCCTCCAACGTAGCCGGGCGGCCTCCAGCCAGAGGCTGTTCTTACCGTAGGCTCCGTCCTTTCGCTCGTCCTCCATGGCCAGGGCGGGCGGGAGGGGAGTCCGAGCCGGCGCGACCCCAGCCCAGGCGGGCGGGAGGCTTCGCGGGCTGCAGCGCCCCGCCCCGGTCCCGTCCCCGCCCCTCCCGGCCGTCCCCGCCCCAGCCCGCCCCTCCAATGGGAGCTCCGAGCGGGCAGGGGCGGGATAGGGCTCCACAAGGGGCGGGGCTCTCTGTTTTCCGGCTGGGCCCCTGGAGGCTGTGCTATCCACTCGTTCATCCTCTAGTATACTGTGTGCCAGCAAACAAAAAAAAGATGCCATTTTTCGTTCATCAGATTGGCAAGAATTTTAAGAGTTTGGTAACATCGAGTGCGGTGAGCAAATGTTCTATTTGGCAGAAAGTTTAAATCCAAAACATGCTTATGCTGGGCTGTTCCTCTCTGACGTTGACCTTGGAGAAGCCATCGCTGGCGTGCATGTATAAGAATGTTACCTGCAGCCTTGACAGTTATCGTGAAAAATGTACATGCCCGTCAACAGGGCAGCTGATACAAGTCGATGGTTTGCTCACAAGAGGGAATACCATCCAGCGGATAAAAAGAATGAATCAACAGGGAAATGCAAATTAAAACTACAATTACTGTGGAGAACAGTTGCGCAGTTCCTGAAAAAGTTGCATATACAACTAGCATATGATGTGACATATACAACTAGCATATGACCCAGCAGTCCCCATCCTAGGTATAATACAGAACAAGTGAAAGCAGGAATGGAAACAGAAACTTTTACACCAATGTTCATTGCAGCACTTTTCACAATAGCCAAAATGTGGAAACAACCGAAATGTTCATCAGCAGATGAATGGATAAACAAAATGTGGTGTATAATACAATGGAATATTACTCAGCAATAAAGAGAAATGAAGTCCTGAGGCATGCCACAACATGGACGAACCTTGAAAAAATTATGCTGATCAAAATCAGCCAGTAGCAAAAGGACAAATAGTGTATGATCTCACTTACATGAAATAAGCAAATATACAGAAACCAAAGATTATTAGTGGTTACAAGGGGTGGGAGGGAGGGAGAAAGGGGCAGTTTTTGCTTGGGGGACATTGAGTTTATGTTAATGGTGGCTGGTGGGAATGTAAAATGGCATAACCACTTTGGAAAAAGGTCTAGCAGTTTCTTATAAAGTTTAATGAGCACCATATGACTCAGCCATCTCACTCCTAGAAATAAAACCGTATGAAATTTTGTAAGATAAATGACTTCTTCATTGCAAATACCTTTTTCAACAACATAAACTGCGACTATACACGTGAACCTTGCCAATGGAATACACAGGAATCAAATTGACTACATCTGTGGAAAGAGATGATGGAAAAGCTCAATATTATCAGTCAGAACAAGGCCAGGGGCCGATTGTGGAACAGACCATCAATTGCTCTTATGCAAGTTCTAGTTGAAGGTGAAGAAAATTAAAACGAGTCCACGAGAGCCAAAATACAACCCTGAGTATATCTTGCCTGAATTTAGAGACCGTCTCAAGAACAGATTTGACATATTGAACACTAATGACCGAAGACTAGATGAGTTGTGGAATGGTATCAAAGACATCATACATGAAAAAAGCAAAAGATCATTAAAAAGACAGGAATGAAAGAAAAGACCAAATGGGTGTCAGAAGAGACTCTGAAACTCGCTCTTGAATGTAGAGTAGCTATAGCAATATAGAGTATCTACAAAAACCTGAACAGAAGACCTCAAAGGGTGGCTCGAGAAGACACAGTAAACCACTGTAACCAAATGCGCAAAGACCTGAAGTTCGAGAACCAAAAGGGAAGAACATGCTCCGCATTTCTCAAGCTGAACAAACTGAAGAAAAAATTCAAGCCTCAAGTTGCAATATTGACTGATTCTATGGGCAAAAATATTGAACGACACAGGAAACATCAAAAGAAGATGGAAGGAATACATAGAGTCACTGTACCGAAAAGATTTGGCCTACGTTCAACCATTTTAGGAGGTAGCATATGATCAAGAACCAATGATATTGGAAGGAAGACGTCCAAGCTGCACTGAAGGCATTGGTGAAAAACAAGGCTCCAGGAATTGACAGAATACCAATTGAGATGTTTCAACAAAAGGATGCAACGCTCATCTATGTGAAGAAATTTGGAAGCCAGTTACCAGACCAACCACCTGGAAGAGATCCATATTTGTGCCCATTCCAAAGAAAGGTAATCCAACAGAATGCAGAAATTATCGAACGATACAGTTAATATCATATGCAAGTAAAATTTTGCTGAAGATCATTCAAAAACGTTTGCAACAGTACACTGATGGAACTGCCAGAAATTCAAGCCAGATTCCGAAGATGCTGATGTCAGATAGATCTTGGCTGAAAGCAGAGAATACCAGAAAGATGTTTACCTGTGTTTTATTGACTATGCAAAGGCATTCAGCTGCATGGATCATAACAAATTATGGACAACATTTTGAAGAATGGGAATTCTAGAACACTTCTTTGTGTTCATTAGGCAGTACACAGACCGAGGCAGTCGTTTGAACAGGACAAGGGGATACCACGAGGCTTGAAATTAGGAAAGGCGTGCATCAGGGTTGTATCATTTTACCATACTTATTCAATCTGTATGCTGAACAAATAATCCAAGAAACTGGACTACATGAAGAAGAATGGGGCATTAAGATCGGAAGAAGACTCATTAACAGCCTGTGGTATGCAAATAACACAACCTTGCTTGCTGAAAGCCAAGAGGACTTGAAGCACTTACTGATGAAGATCAAAGACTACAGCCTTCAGTAGGGATTACACCTCAACATAAAGAAAACAAAAATCCTCACAACTGGACCAATAAGCAACATCATGATAAACAAGAAAAGATTGAAGTTGTGAAGGATTTCATTTTACTTGAATCCACAATCAATGACCATGGAAGCAGCAGTCAAGAAATCAAACGATGCATTGCATTGGGTAAATCTGCTGCAAAAGACCTCTTTAAAGTGTGAAAAAGCAAAGATGTCACTTTGAGGACTAAGGTGCACCTGACCCAAGCCATGGTATTTTCAATTGCCTCATACGCATGTGAAAGCTGCACAATGAATAAGTAAGACTGAAGAAGAACTGATGCCTTTGAATCATGGTGTTGGCGAAGAATAGCAAATATACCATGGACTACTAGAAGAACAGGAACCTGGTGGTGTAGCGGTTAAGAGCTCAGCTGCTAACCAAAACGTCGGCAGTTCTAATCCACTAAGCTGCTCCTTGGAAACCCCACAGGGCAGTCAAACAAATCTGTCTTGGAAGAAGTACAGCCAGGATGCTCCTTAGAAGTGAGGATGTTGAGACTTAGTCTAATGTACTTTGGACATGTTATCAGGAGGGACCAGTCCCTGGAGAAGGACATCATGCTTGGTAAAGTTGAGGGTCATTGAAAAAGAGAAAGACTCTCCATGAGATGGATTGACACAGTGGCTGCAACAATAGGCTCAAACATAGCAATGATTGTGAGGGTGGCACAGGACTGCGCAGTGTTTCCTTCTGTTATACATTAGGTTGCTATGAGCGGGAACCGACTCAGTGGCACCTAACAACAACAACACCGCAAAGACTTGTACACAAATGTTCGTAGCAGTTTTATTCAGAATGACTCCGAACTCGAAACAACCCAAATGTCCATCAGCTGGTGAATGGTTTAACACTGTGTCCATCCATGCAATGGAATACTTCTCAGCAATAAAAAGAAATGAGCTATTTTTTAAAAATTTTTACTGTGCTTTAGGTGAAAGTTTACAGAGCAAATTAGTTTCCCACTAAACAATTAATACACAAATTATTTTTTGACATTGTTTGCCAACCTCGTGATGTGTCAACGCTCTCCCCTTCTCCACCCCAGGTTTCCTGTTTCCGTTCATTCAGTTTTCCTGTCCCTGCCTTCTCGTCTGTGCTTTTGGGCTGGTGTGCCCATTAGTCTTGTATACATGATTGAACTACAAAGAATATTCCTCACGTGCGTCACTGTTGGTCCAAGAAATGAATTATTGATATGAACAATGATATGGACGAATCTCAAAAAAGCATTATGCTGAGCAAAAGAATTTACGTTGTAAAAAGTTCTAGAACAGGCATAGCTAATCAACCTATGGTAACAGAATGCTTATCAGTGGTTGTCTTCAGGGTGGTAGTGACTGGCAGGGCCACAGCGGTGGCTTCCGAGGGACTCGAAACAGGACTGTGATTACACAGATGGGTTCCGTTTGTGGAAGTGACTCAACCTCTGCTCTTTCTTAATATACGTTACATTTCCATTTTTTTTTAATTTAAGAAAGAATGAGGTGGCTCTATAGGTTATAAGGAGAGTGAATATTTATAGAGGGCTTACTCAGCTCATCAAGGTATTAAATGCTTTTTAGTAAATCCTTACAACCATTTTCCAGTTGGGAAAGTGACACAGAAAGCTTAAGCAATTTACCTACAGTCAAACAGTTAATGATTACCAGTGGGCTACAGATTTGAATCCATGGAGTCTGACTTCACAACCCATCAACCCATACACACTTCATACCCCTGAGTCATACCCCTTCTGGAGTAGCCCAGCTAGGCTTCCAAGTCATATTGTTGAGTAAAAATAGAAAATTGCATTTAGTCATGTATGATACGGAAAAAGAGAGAGATACCATATGTAACCAAACAGAAAAAGATCTGAACTTGCCAGCAGTTTATACCGGTTATCTGTGGGAGACAGAGGGGCCAGGAAGGGAGGAGGAGATCAAAGAAGACTTTTTCCTGACCTGTAATGTTATTTCTTCTTCTTCTTCTTTTTTTTACTTGTCCTCGTCTTCCTTCTTCTTCTTACTCTTCTTCCTTAAATAGGAGAAAGTATTCGTGTATTTCTTTCATAATTAAAATTCTATGTAAAGATAGATTTAAAAATTCTGGTATGACCCCTATTCACACGTATTATAGAAAAGATAACTCAAAATGGATCAACAACCTAAATATGAGAGCTAAAACTATAACACTCTTAGAAGAAAACATAGGGGTAAATCTTTATGACCTTGGATTTGGCAATGGATCCGTAGACACAACACCAA